TGCTCGGGGGAGGCACAACATTCACTCCCGAGCTTTGCCATTTTTTGACAATTCAGCTCTACTACCACTGCCTGCAGCACTACTACTACTTCCTAATTGTCCTTCTAATTCAGCTATCCTTGCCTTTAATTTACTTTCATTTGAATCATTCTTAAACCCTGAATTTGAATCATTTTTAAATCCTGATTAATTCCACATCCTTCCACGTTTACCAACAAAGCAATCAGCAATGTAATGTCCTGTTTTCCCACATTTGTAACACGCCTTCATGCTCCCTCTACGTTTGTACTCCTTGTTAGATATGTTTAACTTGTACGCTGAGCAGTCCATGGCGTCGGGATTTACTCACAAAACAGGATTTGATGGAGGTGTTGAAAATGAGTAACTAGTTTCATTTGTGTGTCGATTTAATTTATTATCTAGTTTGATCACAAATTGCAACATCTCTTTGGTGTTGTTGAATACATCCTTGATCATATAAACTGTGATTTCCCTCTTTAAGTCTTGTTCAAAATGAGACATTAATATATTTTGAGGCCATTTGATTACTAATGCTAACTCCGAAAATTGTATCCAATAATCCGCAACTGATCCTTTCTGTTTTAATTCTCGTATTTCTTTTTCAGCTTTCGATACTCTTTCTGAATCGAAGAAGGTAGCTATAAAAGAGGTGATAAACTTAGTCCAAGTTACCGATTCAGACGATTCAGGATCTAAAAGTTGATTGGTCAAACTTTGACCCCAAATGCTAGCTTTTCCTGATGTGTACAATAATGCGAAGGCGACTTTAGCCTGATCATTTGCGAATAAGTGATTGTTCAATTGCATATACAATCCAAGCTGATTCATGAAGACTTCAGCTTTAGAGCCCTTGCTTCCATTGAATTTATCGGGGGTTGACATTTTTGGTTGACGTGGTTGCACAGTTTAATTGACATAGACAGGTTGTACAGGTACAGGATTTGACGGGTCAGCCGGTTGATCAGATGAGGAAGAGGTTTGAATATTGCTCGTCTCATACTGATGGAGCTGAACTTCCGCTTCGTGGCGTTTCTGCGTTTCATCAGCTAGGCTGGCTTTGACTTTGGCAAATTGTGTTGTCAATTGATTTAATTGCCGCAAGACTTCAGCTATGGTTGGGTCAGGTTGTGGTTCCATCACGTTCTCTTCAAGTTTGTGGAAGACCTCGCTAGATTTTGTTGAAAGGTTACTTGACTCTGAAGTCGAAGAACAAGGTACTTTGAAGTTTGGTGTTGTGAATGAGATTGCATGTGATTCAGTGGTGATATAACTTTACTTGCGGATGATGAACTACTTGATGGAATATGATAATCTTCAATACTTTAATTTTGTTCGGATTGCGGAGTTAAACTACTTTTAAACTTTGATTCTGATACAGATCTTGAACTCTAACTAATCTTTAGACTTTTTCTTCTTAACTTTTTGATTGATCTTCTTCTTCTTTGTTGATGCTCGAGATCTGTTGTAGCCGGTTGATCTTGAGAATAGGCGTTGCAATATATTAGGACCTTGTGAGTTGGCAATCAAGGGTCTACTAAAAGGTGTCCTTGTACTATAATAAGATTGCAACGTGAGAATGTAAAATCTCTGACTCGCAGGACTCAAGTAGAGTGAGATCTCAATAGTAGCATACAAGCATATTATCCTTATGGGCTCATAACAGTTGATATGAATGGATTTGGGGGTTATTGTATTTTTTTGTTCAATATGATGAGCGAGGGATAGAGGTTGGAAAAAGTTAAAACGGTGTCTTACCTAGACTCTTTATTAGGAATGCCAGGCGGATCGATTGATCTTGATGGTGTTCCTTGCAAACCATTTTAGGTCACTTTGTTTTATTGGGGCAAGCTTTTGCGTATTGAGTGGTGGAAAGGGTGATGTGGGCGGCTCCAAACTGGGAAATTGTGACGGAAGGGGTGGTACTGGGTGGGAAGGAAGGGGTGGTCTAGGGTGGTTGCTGTGTTTTGTTGCTCATTTTGTGGTCCTTTGGGACCCTACACAAGTACTCGACCTGCTGTACCGCTGTACCGCTGGCAGCGGTACAGCTGGCCAAAAGCGCAACTCGCTGTTTACCCGGGGACCGGCAACGCAGCAGGAACGCAGCGGATAAAAAAATGGGATTCCCGGGCCCCTGCAGCGCAGCTTTTTGGCGCTGCGTTGACAGGCCCGTGAAACGCAGCTGAACCCGCTGTGTTCCAGTAGCGCTGTTGGTCCAACGTTGGCCGCACCCACAACGTGAGTCACAGCCCTAGATTAACCATACAGGACATGATTGGTATGTAGGCTGTGTTCACTTAAGCAATCCTGGTGAAATCTTGCAGTCTGTGATGTACAGAAATCACATTCAGTGAAATGTGGTTGCTATGTTATTTACAAGCATTTTAAAAATTACTGAATGCTTTTAAGATGTGATTCTTGATCACATTCCAAGCATTCAATCAAAGTTCATTCTTCTACATAGAAATAATATTCTGTGATTTCTTTTGACTCTTTTCTTTCAAATCTTTTTCTGAAAATTGGACAAGTTCCTCTCTATTGTGTGGATCTTGTTAAATTCATGATAAGTCCCTCTCTATGTACAGATTCCTACAAACCCCTCTGATCATCTTCAACTACCTTCTTCCAACATTGCCATTCTTCCGGACACCACTTGACTCAACCAAAACCCAAAATGCCCCAATCTGAAGATAGTAGTAAAAATGGAGTGGTCATTGAGGTAGCCAAAGAACTACACTTTATAGTTGTGTTTCTGTTTGTGTTTGTTTTTGTAGCTCTCCTGTCCTTGTTTGTTTCTGTTTTCTAGCTCTGTTCTCTTTCTTTTTGTGACACCTCTGTGCCCTCTTATGTCTTATGAACAACTCTCCCACAATTATTCCTTATGTTGTATGAACCCTCTACCTATGCATTCCATCCTTCAATTTATCTTGTGTTTAAGTATGCCATGCCTACCATCTTGTGTACTCAAGCTCAATTGTGGCTTGTCACATGCTGTAGTGACAAAACTAAGAACCTTTGCTTTTACTTTGAGATTGTTTCTTAGTTTCTATCCTTATACTTATACTGTCCAAAATATGTAGGCGTAGAAATCAAAATGGCAAGGCCAATGGAGGATAAATATGTAGGGGTAAATTTTGTCATAAAGATGGAGCCCCCTTTTCTTGAAAAAAAGCTCCATGTTTATAAAGAGACTGCTAAATTGCTTGTAGCCCAGTGTCCAACCCAAGAAGGGGCACTGGATACTGCTCCAAGGGCTCTAAATAGTGGCATCCTATATTCTTGGTGGGGAATTAGGGGTGCCTTTTTGTACAGATTCATGAGGTCATATGACATCATCTCAATTTTTGTGGTATTGCACATTTTGTTGCAACTGATCCATACCATCTTGATAGCAGACACGCATTACTTTGAAAAAAGTTTGAACTCATGGGGTGCACTGGGCTACCAGCAACCAGTAGTTGGGGGCTGTGATGTGTGCCTTCTGAGCCAGCGTACACAAATGTGAACATCATGTCAAATGAACACACTGCTAAGCCATTTTGGGTGAGTGATGCTTGGTTTTGATAGGCTGGTTGTCAATCAGCAGGAACAACACAAGGAATGTGGGTGCCATCAATAGCACTCACACATTTGTTGAAGTAAGGAGTGAAACAAGGGTTATATCTAATTTCTCTTGGGCATATCTTCCCTCTGGTAGGTAGAACAATGTATATGGCACTACCAGCATAAATTAGTTTTCCCAAGGAAAAAATTATTACATTTAATGCATTGAATGATTGAAAATGCTGGTTTGATACCTAATAACACTGATTCAATGCTGATTTAGTGCATTTTCAATCATTTCTTGCTCTAAATGTAATCACTTTTCCCAAATAAAAATTCTTTCACATTGGTAGTGTGTATTCAAGGGAGGTAATGGCATGGCAGACATTGTTACAGTATTTGCTAATTGTGTGACTGGACCGTCAAAAGTGCTATCCAGCAACTTGATTAGAACCAGAGCTGCCAATGACATATAAACAATCATGACTTGTTCTTCAACTGTCATGCTGTTTTGACGGTGGACAGCAAGCTTGCCTTCAAGAGCTTTCATCATTCCCTTGAGGTCATGCTGGAGGTGTATCTGAAAAAATGGGCCAAAAGGTGCGGGCACATCCAGAAAACTGATCAGAAAGTAGGTAAGCACACCCAAAAGTACCATACTGGGTTTACCTGCTTCCTGGTTAGGGAAACTGCTTGGTTGCTCTCAGTCTAACTAAAGATTGCACCATTTTCAATTGGAAATGCCAAGATCAAGCATTCACCTCAATTCAAAAGCTGTGAGGAGTGGGATCAAGAAGTTGGACAAATTTTGCCTTCAAAACCCTCAAAACCCCCAATCCTTGTGGGAAAAAGTTGTTCTTTACCAAAAAAGAATGCCTAATGCACCCAGTGGCGCCTAGACACGGTCCTGAAGCCCTTTTGAAAAAAGGACACGCCCTCAACCTGACCTAGGCAAGCCTGTTCATCCAACATAACTCTTGTAATCAAACATCACTGCCTTCGAGGATCTCTTGTGTATGGTGATTTCCTCAAAGCTTTGATGTTCTACAGGGTTTTTTATGTGCTTATTGAAGACAAGAATTTGGTTCCGGCTTTGATAATGACCTTGAGAAGTTCCATTGCAGGTCAAAATGATATTGATGATACATCAGAGTCAGAACTCGAAGAACTAGACATGATAGCAATGAATGGACTTTTGAAGGTCGAATCAGAAGAGATGGGAAAGTCCACATTTGACCCCCCCGTTTGGAAGGAATGGAAAGTGATCCATCCGTCTTTAATTACAAAGTAATCAAACGCTTGATTACCACTCTCCTCACGAAACATCAAATTTCATGAAACGCTTTTCTAAATGTAAAAAAGCGGTGTCTCACAATGCGATTTCACAGAATCTAGCCAAATTGAACTGGGCCTGTATAGGGTCATGAAAGCTTTTGATGAGATCGTTCAGAAAAAAATCAAACGTTTGAACAAATCATTATTAATCATGCATTCATCATATCTATATTTATGCATCCATTATCAAATTTTTACTGAATCCATTATCGAATCTTTACTGACTTTATCAGATGTATAAAAGAAAGCGTAGAGTGATATAAAAGAGATTTCAATTCTATCATTCGATATACGTACTTATGAGAGAAAGAAACAAGAGAATTGACAATTGAGAGGTTTTTTCATCATTTAGAATTTTTCAAAACTGATCGAATTTCCTTTTTCAAACCATCAATTTCATGTTCAAAAACCACGGGTTATAATTCAAGAAATCATCATCCTTCTCATGAAAACAATCGTTTCTCATACCTAAGAAAATCCCAAAAATATCAAATCAACTTCATCGAACAAACACACTATTTCGCAAAGAAAAAGAAGTGACAAATCCACTCACGAGTGTAGTCCATGTACACCACCTTCAACCTGAGCACTAGCTGTTCTTAATTCAAATCTAACTTCACCTGAGTCAGCTCCTTTTCTTAAATCTCCAATCGATTTCATTCCAACATCTTGGAGTGAATGTTGTAAGCCAGTAAAAAGGTATGGTACAAATTTCTTTAATGATCCTTTGTCTACTACTGCCCCCGTCACTCCCTGATATAAAAAGTAAACGTGGTCAATATTAGTATTGAGATCAAATGACTTCATTATTCATCCTGGATCAGTAGAAGTCAAAAGATGAACTCAACTTGTGCTACACGGACAGCATCACTTTCAGAAAAGTAACGCGAGGTAGCCGCATTGTCAAACGTTTCAGCCTTCTTAGAAACTTGGGCTTCCTTTTTGACTGCCTGTTGTGCTGCTTTACCATGTTCCATAGCATCTAAACTTCCCATCCCTCGGTATTTCTTAAGTCGTTTACCTTCATTGTAATAATATTCTCCTGGTGATTCTGTTGTACCTGCTAAAAGTCCACCCATCATCACACCCGAAGCTCCTAGCGCAATTGCCTTTCCGATATGTCCTACATTTGAAATCCCACCATCTGCAATCACAGGTACACCAAACTTGCTAGCAAACTCGGCAACAGCATAAACTGCTGATCCTTGTGGACGACCTACTGCGCAGACTTCTTGAGTAATGCAAATCGATCCACTACCCATACCAATCCTTAAACCATCAGCGCCTGCAGCGATAAGTTGTGCAGCTTGTTCCCGTGTTACCACATTTCCAGCAATCACATCTAATTCAGGGTAAGTCTGTTTGATCCAACGTAACATTTCGATTTGGTAGATCGAGTTACCCTGGCTGGAATCTAACACTACTACGTCTAATCCAGCCTCAACAAGAAGTGAAAGTCGATCACGATCCGCCTCTCGAGTTCCAACAGCGGCACCGCAGAGTAGTTGTTTACTTGCAGGTTTCTTACTAGCCAGAGGATAATCCTTGTTTTTCAACAAATCGCTACGAGCCAAAAGTGATCTCAGTCGACCTTGATCGTCTACGAGTGGTAGTTTTCCCTTCTTACAATCACGAAGGATAGTGTTGGCTTTCTCTAATGTGATACCTTGAGGTCCTACAACGAGATCAGATAGGTGTGTCATCACAGCTGAGAGTGGTTGGTCTGGTGATCTAAACTGAATGTCTCGAGCGGTCACAATTCCCATTAGAAGTCCACCAAGTTTTCCAGTATCTAAGAGCATAAACATTTCATAAATATTATGATATGAAATTATAAAATGAAACATATACACCTACCTGTCACAGGAATCCCACAGAATCCTTGAGACTCTTTGACAGCCAAAACATCTGCAACAGTGTTTTCAGGAGCCAGGCAAACTGGATCGGTAATAAATCCCTAAGGAAAAGGTAGCGTATGACAGAAGTATGAAACCAGCTTAGTTAGAATTTTGCGAACTTGGCCAGAATCAAAGGGTCCAATGGAAGATGTGTTTTGGACTGACATTCTCATATTTCTTAACCGCTCGAACCATTGAGGCTTGAAGATGAGCTGGCATATTATGATGGATTATACCAATTCCACCTAAGAGCTGATTTTTCGGTTGATTGAATTCAAATTATATTTTATGAGGATCAAGACAAGATAGGTTTGCTGTTTTTTGGAGGGGGTTAAGCTTACAGCCATAGTGATTGCCATGTCTGTTTCAGTGACTGTGTCCATGGGTGAACTGATGAAGGGAGTCTTGAGGGAAATGTTCCGAGTGATTCGGGAGTCTAATGAAACCTGAATTGAAGAAAACAAATTAATCAGACCTTCATTGGTTGATGAATTTTGACAAGTTGATAATGTTATTCACGTCAGATGCTGAAAAATCGATATGACCGGGTAAGAGAAGGAAGTCATTGTAAGTCAGACCACCGAATCTGTGATTAAAAGTTCATTTTGTTATACTGAGAATGGTAAGTGTTTTTTGAAAGTTTGATGTTAAGGAATGTAAAGATGAGTTGCTTACTTTGTGGAATCCATGAGTTCATGAAGGCTTAGACCATCTTTTCTTGAATATTTTTCTAATTCAGAGATAGCTAAAGAAAAGTCTAAAGGTCCAATCTAGCATTCATAGGTTCCAAGGAAGTTAGATATAATGTTAGCTTGGTTGATTGATTGATTAGGAGATAAAAGTTGGAGTCAAAAGTACTTACTGAGGTCATTTTTTTGAATTGCTGATTAGTGAATTGTATTGAGATGGTTTTTGCTGTTTACCAATTATTTGATTTGATTTGATTAGTTTGGTTTGCTGTGAATGAAGTTTACTTTGGATGTGGTTTTGATTTGACGTCAATTGGGTAAGCCAAAATTTTCAACTTTTTTAATCTGGGTTTCAATCGGCCGGCTTAACCGGCAATCTGTTACCAGATCTACCTGTCACGTGTGCGATTGGCCAGCTCTTCAAGTCAGCTTTAGCTTCACTGACCTGTCACTTAGCTGGCAGCCTGAAAAAAGCCCGCCCTGTTGTGATCCCGGAGCAAGATGCGGAGCGGGTCAACTTCCCCATGACAACCAAAATACCCGTGAAAGCCAAAAAGAGAAAACTTTTGCCATTCTCGGTGTTGACCGTTTCCTTCACCTCGCATTAACTGTCTACCTACCACCTACCTATTTCTTTATACAAACAGCATGGCCACTCAAAAACCAACAGAAACCACCGAAGCCTCAAAACCGGCTGATCAACCTACTTCTGCTGCCTTACCAGCTGACACGTTGACCAAATGTAAGCATGAAGATCACATGTTGTCAAAACCCCACGTTTGCTAAACCCTAGGACTTGAAACCTGACTAAATTTCTTGTCTGATCGGTACATCTGACAGATAAAACTGCTGCTGAGATCGCATCTAAAGCTTTGAAATTGGTCATCTCCAAGGCAGTCAAGGGATCAAATCTTTTAAGTTTATGTCAAGAAGGTGATGCATCAATCGAAGAAGGATGTGCATCAGTTTACAACAAAGATAAAAAGAACCCTACTAAGAAGGGTATCGCCTTTCCTTGTGCGATCAGTATCAACAAGTACGTTTATTTTATTCTCTTTCTCTTGTTTGTCTAGTTTTGAATATTACCTGGCTTAACAAGCATTCGCCCCTACGTTTCTCAGCGTCTTGTGTCATTTCACACCTTTGCCCACAGATGCGGGTGCAAGTCAAGAACTTCAAGATGGGGACGTGGTGAAGATCATGTTAGGTTCTCATATTGATGGATATGCTTCTATCATTTCTGAAACGTGGGTATCATCAACTAAGCTTGAAGTCACCCTACGACCAGTTACTCAAACTTTGCTTTTGATTACTCGAACTGCGAATAAATTCATCTCAGCATGGTAGTCGGCGCTTCGTCCACTGCTGCTGTCACAGGTCCTAAAGCAGATTTGTTAGCAGCTGCTTACAATGCAACTGAGCTAGCGCTTCGATTGATCAAGCCGGGTGTCAAAAACTGGGAAGTGACGGATGGTGTGCAAAAACTCTTGAAAGAATATAGCTCGATCAAAGGAATGGAAGGTGAATTTAGAACCCTCCTACTCATTCTACTACGCTTCACAAGCTGACTCGTTTTGTGAATGGTATAAAACTCACTACAGGTATGCTTTCCCATCAACACGAGCAGAGCGTGATTGATGGAAAGAAGACAATCAACCTGTTCCCAACTACTGAACAGCATCGGGACAAGGACTCAACCTTTATTTTCGAGGAGGGAGACGTCTTTGGATTAGATGTCCTACTCACAACTGGTGAGGATACCAAGGTGCGAGCTTCGATGACGATCCGACAGATCAAGTGGCAGATGCTGATACGGGGCTTTGTCATTCTTGTCTTGTAGTCTAAAGCACACGGTGACCGAACATCGATCTTCCAGAAGACAACGTCATCTTATCAATTGAAGATGAAGACTTCTCGTGCTACATATGGTGAGATCGTGAAGAAGGCGGGCGCGTTTCCGTTTACATTACGTAAATTAGAAGATCAAACCAAAGCTCGGATGGGAGTGAAAGAATGTGTGCAACATGGACTTCTGAAGGAATTTGAAGTGACGTGCGTTCAATTTGCTTCCTTATCAACAAGGTACCCTTTACGAGACTTTGAAAAGACTGATTTTTGCTTTCTTGGAGATGATAGGACGACTTCCGACCCTAAAGATTTTACCGCTCAATACTTTGTCACATTCGTGGTGACTAAAACTGGGGCTTCAAGAATCACACCTCAACCTCACTTTTACACAGGGCAGCTTTCGGAAGTAGTGAAGAGTGAAGTGAAAGTTCAGGATGAGGAACTCTCTGCAATCTTGGCGCGTGGGTTGAAACCTAAGAAGGCCAAAAAGCAGACAAACGGGGAAGCCAAAGAAGCTTCCACATGATCTGAGGAAGATTTTCTGTCTTGAAGTCGGGATCGACACCAAAAAACGGCAACAATTGTAGGAGGTTTCTAGGGTCCTTGTGAGCTGAGCGTGATTGGAGGGGATAAGATATCATTCATAGCACATCCTTCTTATTAAGCTTTTGAAACTATTGTATACATCACACATTGCTAAAATATGCGACTGCTCATTATCCTTTGAATATGATAGAGCATTTGGGGTTTGTCTGTCTGGGTGGAACAGATGAGAAGTAGCACACTATGATATAGGCTCTGTCGGGAGTTCGTCGTATATCACGTGGAGCGTCATGAGTTGATTAAAACTTGACCATCGAGAAGAATAACTTATGCTGAGAGATTAAGACGTCTGAAAGTAACGCACTGAAAGATACGCAGCGTCATTCCTATCACACCGCGGGAATTAATTAGCTTGAACCCCGATTGAACCGAATTTCGGTGTCCGGGTTCGAAATTTCCTCAAATTGTGAATTTTGTTCACAGCTCGTTTGCAATACGTTTGCCGATTTCCCTTGAGTGGTACTCTGCTCGCCCCGTGTATGCACAGCTACATCATACAACAACAACGCCTTTCAACAACAGTCACCACAGATTCACCAATGTGCAGAGCATCAAGACTGAGGATGCATGACAAAGGAAAGATGGCTCAATGGTCGGAAATGGGGTTGTTGTTGTATGTCGTAGCTGTACATACATACGCGGGGCCAACAGAGTACCGCTGGAGGGCAATTGGCAAACCTATTGCAAACGAATTGTGAATGAAATTCACAATTTGAGGAAATTTCAAACCCGGGCACCAAAATTTGGTTCAATTGGGTTTTGAACTAATTAATTCCCGCGGTGTCAATCACAGTCTTCTCAATCATCATGAAATGCTACATCAGTGTCACAAATTGCTGAGTTTGCATTTGATGCCATATCAATATAGACTTGAGGTACAACTCTGATTCTTTGTGAAACTATTTCATCAAATTCAATGCTGCTTTGAGACCACAGTAAAGTCTTGTGACGCAGAAACCAAGAAGATTTCAGTGTTAAATAAAAAAAATGTGGCTGCCAGCAAGCCTTTTTTAATCTTAGACGGGCAGCAATTTAGACCTGAAAGCCTTGAACTTCTTCAAATGTTAGCTCAACACAAGCCCTCTCTGCGCGGCCACATCTGCACGCCTCGCAAAGGGGCTTGGGACTGACCATGAAATTTTGGCACGGAGACTCCAAGGATTGAGTCCTCTCAAGTCATTTTTTACTGTTTCCCGCTTTCCTCACTGATAAACAAGACTTTGCCTTGCAGGCAAAGTTGTTCATAATGATGTTGTACAGTCGGTGACAAAAAGTTTACGTACCTGTAGCAGAACTCATCAAATTGGCAACTCTCAATGAGCTTATCTAGCTCTCAATCTCACTGTTCATGTACCTGGAAGTACATGGTCTAGATGGCCACTGACCAGAGTACATATGAATGAATTTCAGGATTCACAGTAATGTAGACTCTAAAATACAATGACTTTTACCAGCGAATGTGTCCCTCTTTGCTTTGAGCACAGCCTTGATTCAGTCAGGCATGGACTCGACTAAAGCTTGAAACTTGCTCTGAGGGATTGCTTTCCACTTGGTATACAGTGCTTCACGCATTTCTTGAACTGTTCTGGGTTGGTGCTTTTCAGAAACATTTTTTTTCATGATGTTCCCGATGTTCTCAATCCGGTTAAGGTCTGGACTATTTGCAGGCCAATCTAACTTTTCAATTGAATGTTCATCCCTCCATTGTTTTGCCACTTTGCTTGTGTGTACCGGGGCTCCATCCTCCATCAAGATGAGGTCTGGTGGGCAGTTAGGTGAGGTGATGAGTGGTTCGATAATCTGGCGATACACCAAATTGATCAAGTTGGCTCCAGTTGGACGTCCCACCGGCATTACTATCATTGGTAAGCAAAGCTCAGCTGTGAACGCCCCCCAGATCATTACCAAAGTCCTTCCACTCTTGAGACTTGGGGCTAAACAGTCTTGGTTGTATTTTTCACCAGGTTTGCACCACACCCAAACCTTCTTCACAGACTTTCCAATCTCGAATGAGGATTTGTCAGTCCAGATGACCTTCTTCCAATTGTCGTAAGTCCAATTGTTGTGTTTTCTAGCAAACTCAAGAGGCTTCAGAACATGTTTCCTCTTGAGATAAGGCTTGACTACGGCAACTCGAGAGTGAAATCCAAGTTTTTGAGTCTCTGATTGAACTGTTGAATTACTGGCTTTTATGGGTAGCTTGCCAGCAATACAGGCAGCCAAAGCACGTTGGTCCTGTTGGATCACCCGCTTCAAGGTTTGCTGATCACATTCTGAGAAAATTTTTGGTTGTCCGAGCTTTTTTAAGATTGTTGATTGGTGTCTTTTGCGGTCGTTATAGATCACTGTGTAGACAGTTGACTTGGGATGGCTGAGTTTCTTGGCAATTTGAGTGCCAGGAATCCCGAATTTGTGCATATAAATGATAGATTTCTTTTGAGTGGGAGAAAGGGTGCAAGTCTTCATTTTCACAGACAATAGGGATGAGGTATGGAGGAGTGATTCAAGATACAAAGTACCCATAGACTGAGCTACACTAATACATATGTAGTCAAGGTACGTAAACCTTTTGTCACCCACTGTACATGTGTTCTACCGTTGATCAACCAGAAAAACAAGCTGCATTTTGAAGATCTTGAGGTTACTTTTCAAGCTTTATGTCTGCCCTGTAAAGAGGTGGGCCGCGCTGTACAGCCTGTATTCATGATAAGCAAGTTAAAATCTAAGCTTAACAAAGTCCCATGCTCTGAAACTTATGCCAAACTCAAAGTCATTGGTCACCGTAAAAAAATTTGCAGCAGCAATTCTTGTGAACCATCTAGCCAAGTCCCTACCAAAGATTTCTATGTGCAGCAAAAAAAATGTGTGTGCTAGCCTCCTGTGCAGATTTTGCACTTTTTTCTCAAAGAAGTTCAATCCCTCTCGCATCAAATGTGCCTCAAGGATTGAGTCTCTGTGGCAAATTTGGGCTTGAGAATGACATCACATGTGTAATTGACAGTCATATCCAGATCTTTGAGACACTTTTTGGGCAAGAGGGGGTCAACTTCCTGGGGGAATAAATAGCGTACACTATGCACAAGAGGAGTGTACCCATCTTTTCTCTTTGGACCATATAAGAATTCTTGGTAGAGAGATGCGTAGTAGGCTTGCAAGGAATCTCCTGCAAAGAATCTTATGGTGACATGCAAGTTTGGTATAAGACCCACCATGTCCGTTGTAGAACTTAAAGCTCAACAAGAGCTTTACAGAGCTTAAAGAGGGATAATCTACTAATATAACTAACTAGTAGAAGTTGCCTAAGACTGCCTCTTTGAAAGAATCAACACGGGGTTTTGCTGAATCCTTTGTGATGAGGCACCAGAGAAATTGTCTCAATACTTAATTTAAGTATTATTCCCGTGACTTTTAGAAATAAAGAAATCTCAACACTATTGTAGTGTTATTCCAATCTGAGCACAATAAAACACAACTTTAATTACTAGCAAAGCAACAATCAGTTTAATTGTTATTCCAATGAAGACTTGTAGTCTTATCACACGTAAAGAAATCTCTCCTTTGATGTAAAGGGGCAATTTAGTGAACTTAGTACTGCTAAAGTAATTTAATGATGATTAAAAATACTCTAACAAAAGTATAAGATGAGTAAAAAGGGGAACAAAGGCACGTAAAATCCCTAACAATAGTATATAACCCTCTAACAACCTTCAACAATGGTCAACAACCTCCAAAAAACCCTCAAAAACCGTCAAAATCAACAGAAATCCTCCAATGTAATCATATGATGTCATAAATATTATTGTTTGTAATGATTCAAGGCGTGAATTTGATCAATTGATGTTAATAAATGATGAACAGATCTTCTTATGATGAATACAGGTGATTTTTTCCTAATATTCATAGCTGAAATCCATTTTTGGAATTACAAATGTTTTGTAAAGTTGTTCAATTTTTGATTACTATAGCTCATTTGATAGCCCTCGTGATACTGATCATTTATCACCCCCATATGACCTATTTCTGATGTGTGATGAATAAGTTATTGAGCTGTAAAGATTGAGAAAATAAAGTTTTGTCATGTAAATGTCACATGTAACCTCCAAATTCAAAATTCACTCCAGTTTCTTTGTTGTCTTATAACTTTTTCACTACTCCTCTGTTACTAATGATTTAAAGGTTGCACATTATGAACCCAATGATTCTGCGTCGAATGAGCTATCACACACCCAATTCTGACAAGTCTTAACATATGTAATTAACTAAAAACCTCCATTTTTGATGAATTTTGACTATTTTCACGTCTAATAATGATTTTTCTTCTATCAAAAGATCATTCCACAGCACTCCAATCAATCACACAGCACTAAAATCATTCTGAAAAACTCTTGGCACAATCAATCCATCAATGACATCACTACACAGGAATTAATACCATAGTACCCCTTTTCAAAATTCCCCTTTTCTTGAATAATTTCACACCTCCCTGATCAATCCTTGTGATTAAAATTGCTGATGACTAATGTTGTCCTTCCCTTTCATAATAAAACCTTCCTGAACCAATAACTCTTATAATAATAACCTAAAAACCATTTTCCAGCCTTTCATACCCATATTTTCGAATTTTCCTTCAACTTTCTTAGTATTCTTCTTCTTCTTTTATTCTTTTCATAACAGTTTCCATTCCTTAAGATCCATACTAAATGTTCTTCTTCCTCAAATCCCTTCTTACTAATTCTTTCAATTTGATTTTCACTCTTATACTATTTTTATTGATCTTTTCAAATTTTTCTTTACTCTTAAATGGTCTTATCAATTGCTTATGTAAATATATGATTTGAAAGATAATGAAATGCAGATTATGAATCAACTTTGATACCCTTGATGACTAATAACTTCAATAATAAATTTGCCTTTGACCAAAAATACAAATTTTCACATAATTTTTAAATTTTTTGCTTAAGTAGAGATCTTGCTCACCACACCGTGTGATGTTTGCTTGTTGAAAAGCGCACACCAGTTGCCTTTGTGCCTCAAAGGCAGTCTGTGTGCACTTGTTGCTGGGCAACTGCCACAACGACACGGTGGCCCTCACTTACTTCAGAGCACAGGACTTTGTTAAGTTTATTTAAGATCCAAAAAGGCCGTTTTGTAAATATTTTCAGCCCATTTTGCTGGCCAGATCACCCAGGATATCCAAGATATGAGCATACCAGGATATGTACAAAGTGATGCTGAAAAACTTGGTCTGCGAGGAAAAGTGGTATTCATCAG